GGGGGAGAATTTTGAGTCGTGCACTTTAAGGGAAAATCTATCAAGAGATATTTTTGTTATACAATTAATGGTGCAAATTGAATTCTGATTGTTTGGTTTTTTTGTGTAATCATGGGTATGCATGTATATTATCATATAATTCTAAAAAAGAGTACATACTAGACTATGTACAGTTGAATCTCCTTTGTAACCACCTCTTGTAAGCAACCACCTCTCTTTAGTGACCAGTTTTTCAAAATACCAAAAATTTCCCAAGTCAAATCACTATGAATGTAACCTCTTGTAAGCGACCACCTCTCATAGGCAACCACCTCTAATGCAACCACCTCTAATGCAACCACCTCTAATGCAACCACTTTTAGAGATGCTTCTTTAGAATTTTCAACTGTTTTAAACCTCCTGTAGGCAAGCACTGGCCAGACAATCTGCTTTATCTCTCACAAGCAGAAAGTGGAAATTGTTTCAATAGATGTTGTAAGAGTGGAGCCACGGGGAGCATTTCCTGAAATACCTTATACCGCATTAAGTTTTTGCTTGTGTTGCATTCTAAAAAAAATTTGGACAGCACCAGTTGGAATAACAAACAAACCAAGTCTCTTTCACAAGAATTGTCCCAAATGCCCTCTATAAAATAATTTGTGAGATACAAAATAATCACCATAGATCCTAAGATTTATTTCCCTGAACAAGCTCCTAAAAATAAATAACTATACGTGTCAATAAGTGCTGGTGAAAGGGTACAGTCCCCACAATCAAATGAGCTGAAATAAGGATCCACTGTGACCTGACCTCTGGTAAGCTACCACCTAGACCTGACGTTTTGGGTGTTGGCTTATGGAAGGTTCAACTGTATTGATTATGGAGGGGGCAAAATACTGAATGGGGTTCATGTTCAACAGTATGACTTGATTCATGAAGCCTATGAATGTAAGGTCACTCTTGAACTATGTAAAAACTCTTATTTCTTGGGGTGAATTTCCCTGGCTTACTTTTGATGTAGACATACCAAACATTGTTTAATTATTAATAGTAACATTGTTATAGGTATTTTTTACTTTTTCATTTACATAATAAATTTTTGTTTCTTTTTAGGCTCTACCGGACAAACTGCTAAGAATTTTAAGCAGCTGAAAGAAGCAATCAATGACAAGAGTAAGCGAGGTCTTGAGGAGATAAAGAATGCTGTATCAAGAATTGGTTTTGTAATTTCTGATAATGAAGGAAATGGAAATTGTCTGTTTCATGCTTTATGTGAGCAACTGGAAATTGTTAAAGGAATTTCAATTAAGCATGATGAATTGAGGCAAACCTTAGTTCAATACCTCGCAGAAAACCCAAGTATGGTAGGTTTCATTTGGTATTCACAAGTAGTTAAAGGCTGTTTGTCACTTGCTCTCTCAGTCACATAATCAAATTTGACATTTTTTAACTCACTCTTGGATGTTCTGAATGCATATAAGTATTTGAAGGATTAAACCTAAGACCAGCTGAGCACAAACCTTAAAGATTTTCTTTCCTAGATGTATATTTGATCATGTGTACTTGAGGCATCTGTCAGTTTTTTGTGGTTTTTTGATATTGGAAATGATAGCTGTTTGAGCAGACTATCACTTGCTCTATTGAACTGAAATATGGGCATTAAGGCAATAGAGACTCTTCTTTCAATTCCCCTGTGGTTAAGGGGAAGGGCTAGCTACTGGAGATGGCTGCCATTCCAGCAAAACAATGGTTAACAATACACAATGTCATACCACTGATACGCCTGCACTAACTAATAGAGGTGACTGAGAGTCTTGACCAACTTGAATAACAAGGCAACTGATATACTGATGACTCTCGGTAGACATGTCTACTGAATATCAGTTGATGTATATTCACTAACACTTCTTGCCATGTCAACTGAGAGTAATAATTGATACATGACTGACATGCCTTATGCACACATGATATGATATATATAGATTTTTGAAAATGCCAAAGATGCTAAATAAAATATAACTTACTGGTTAGAGGTCTTGGTTTCCAGTCCCTTAAGGCTAAGTACAAACAGTATTTTAGTCTGAAGCATTGGCCCACTCAGCCTTACTTTCTAGAGAGCTCTGTTGGCTTGCACATTTTTCAAGTTGAACTAAACAGACATCAAGTGTAACCATGCACATGACATGGTTCGCGGGAGGGGGGGGGAACAAAAATTAATGACTAATGTGTTTGAACTCATCCTTCATCACTATCAACAAAGAAAGTGAGGGGGTCTTCATTTTCAGGTCTTCATTTCTGGGTCTTCATTTTCAGGGTCTTTTTATTTAAAACATGTGTTCTATTGCATACTCTGTTGCTGTTAGAAAGATTGAAACTGGAGCCAGGTATTTTCAGTGGGAAACCATAACAAAATCAAAACAAGGTCAAGAGGATAAATTTAATTTAGTTAAAAGAAAGCCATTCATCGATACTGTGGGGATTTAAAGTGCCGATGTAAGAGATAATTTATCTTTCAAATCGGAACTTTTAATCCCCACAGTATCAACAAAGGCTTTTTGCTCCACATTAGGTTCATTCTTTGGTTGTCTTTTTCACTTTAGTATTTTCGCTCCTGCTTTGGTCACCCCAAATTTATTTTATTGTAACAGTTGCAATGCTTACTCTAATTCACATTTCTTAATTTATTGATCCTTCCTGCAGGAAGATGGAACTTGTCTGTTTAGCCTCTTAGAGAGTAGCCAACGTAGCAGTTTTGTTACATGGGATAATTACCTAAGAGACATGGCAAAAGATGGCACTTGGGGTGATGAAATGACAATTATTGCAGCAGCAAACTGTTATAAAACCATTATTAATGTGATCAGGGCACTACCTGGAACTACCTTGGTTATCCCTATCAAGCCAGAATGTGAAGTAAAAGGTGGACATACAGTTTGGCTGGGGCACATATATAACTTCCATTTTGTCAGCCTTCTTAAAGGTACAACATGCATAAAGTTCATTAGAATGTAAACTATATTTTTAAGGTGACTGGTGTTCAACCGATTTGTTTTAGTTATCATACATGAAGTAAAGCCATGGTATGGTAAGAAATGGCATGTAGGCTTTGAGATTTAAAATACAAGAAATCTTCAAAACTATCAAAATTACTGTCTCAGGTTTCCCCTTTGGAAAGCAAATGAATAAAGGCTGCTAGTTTCTAAAGAAACTGTTTGGGGCTGCGTCGGTGGGGGTAACGAAATAATTTTGGATATATCAACAAAGTTGAAATGGTAAATTGGCCACCATAACGATTACAAAAGCTGACGTTTCGAGCGTTAGCCCTTCGTCGGAGCGAATAAAGGAATTGTGGGTTGTGTGTGCTTTTAAAGGCAGAAAATGGAACATTCCATTCACTCTCATGTTTCACCCTCACAACCACTCAGTTAAATCCATCATTCTTAAAAACTTTAAATTATTTCAATACGATCCAGAGACAAGCACTATCTTTTCGCAGCCTTCGCTCATTTCATTCAAACGCGACAAAAACATAGGCAATATTTTGGTCAGAAGTTCTTTTGAGACTAATGACCAACCAGGCACTTTTAAATGCGCTCGTGCACGATGCGAAACTTGTCCTTTCATTCACAACACTGAGAAAATATCGGGACCCAGACGATCCATTAAGATCACCGATCACTTCATGTGCACCTCCGCCACTGTAATCTATTGCATAACTTGCACTTATTGCAAAAAGATATACATCGGCGAAACAGGCCGAAGACTGGGTGACCGATTCCGAGAACACCTTCAAGACGTGGAAAGGAATGACAGGGACACATCGAAACCAGTCACTAGACAATTTAGTTTACCTAATCATTCTAAGCAACATGTGGCAATCTGCGGTCTTTCCTTACACTTAGGTAGCTCGGAAAGCCGGAAAACTCTTGAACAAAAGCTCATCTTTCAAACCGGCAGTCTAAATCCCACAGGTATCAACGAACGCTTTTTATTCCACTAATTTATTCGTGTTTTTTTCGTTGCCATGTTCCCACCAATAACGTAGCTCCGTTTTCTGCCTTTAAAAGCATACACAACCCACAATTCCTCTATTCGATCCGACGAAGGACTAACGCTCGAAACGTCAGCTTTTGTAATCGTTACGGTGGCCAATTTACCATTTCAACTTTGTTGATATATCCAAATTATCCCTTTTAAAAGCACTTTATTTTTGAAGGTCATAGTATGCAGTGTAATGTCAGACATGCGTATGGAATGGTGAATGCATGCGACCATTTCTTGAATAAAACGGAAATGACAGATAATATCACATCAGATTTGTGTAAACTTTTAATTATAGTAATATTAAGTAACACTTAATTAATTTGTGAAAAAATTTTGTGGCTGGTATGAAGCACTCTCTCAAACAATTATCAATATTCACAGCAGGACCACATAAAAGTAATTGACTTAAAAAAGTGGTCACACTGGTTAAACCAGTCCAAGTACCAAAATAGATGTGAACTTTTATCAACTGAATTTTTTTTATTTACAGCTGCAGTAGCTACATCAGATCAAGTTATTAATGGAACTCAGCAGAAAGAATGTCAAGAATCGAAGGAGAAGCCCGGTAAACTTGTGTAAAATTTCTTTTTTTTAACTGGTTGTCACCAGTATTTGTTTGCTTATGTTAACCACATGAAGCTCTCCAGTTAACTAAAAACATGCATTAGAACTCTGACCAAAACAGGCTATATTTGTTTCCCAGCTGCCTTTGTAAATATTCATTTTTAATACCACTTTAGAATGTCCTTCATTTCTGTTTTTTTTATTTCTCAGCTTGCCGGTAATATTTGTGATTGTAAGTCAAAATGAAAAGTAGATTTTTAAGGTATTATCTCCACGTGCATATTTTACATAGATCATGAGAAGACATCCTCCAGTACTGAAACAGTCCCTGCTGTCAATTCTACCGAGGAAAGTAAGAGGTCACCATTTGTTCTCATCCATTTTAGAATGTTCTTCATTTTGATTTCTATTTCCTCCCAGCTTACCGGTACTTTTTTATTGTAAGTGAAAATGAAAAGTAGATTTAAGGTATATTTCCTCTTGTGTATTTTACACAGATCATGAGAAGGCATCTTATAGTACTGAAACAGTCCCTGCTTTCGATTCTACAGATAATAGTATGAGGTCACCTTTTGTCCTCATCCAATCTTTTAGACAAGAGATGGTGTAGGGTTGAGCCTTAGGTGCAAGCATATGATGTTTTGGATTTTGCTATATCAAAAATAGAGTACACAATTGTAAATATTTCAACACAGTTTATCTATTTTATTATTTACAGATATTGTTGGTGTAACAATATCTACATTCAAATACGTCGAGTTTAAAATTTATAGGTGATTGAGTTTATGCGAGAGGTCATTTGTAACAGTGCCTAATTAACAACTATCCACCGAAGTGGAGGTGGTTAGTGGTGGATATTTACCGAGCCGCGAAGCGGCGAGGTAAATATCCACTGCTAACCACCGACACTGAGGTAAATAGTTGTTTTAGTATATACTAAAACTGTGAGATAACATATACCACCGTCGTTAATTTAAGTGATTTCTTCGCTTGTCACGTATGCAAACCGGGACGCCATTTTTTTTTCCGAGTTGCTCAGAGGTAAATAGCAAAGGATGTTCGGAGATTGACCAGCCAATTAGAGCGCACCTTCAACGTTATCCACTGTTTTAGTATATACTAATATAATATATTCAAGGTTATGCCATTTTACGTTATTTTACCGCTAGTCTACCATATAAGTGACAGAACGCGCTAAACGTGGGAGGGTAGGACACTGTAGAACAAGGCAAAAATACAGACGGAAGGCGAGCAACAAAATGATTTGGTTATAGCAACTAAGTCGAAATTGTAAATTGGCCACCGTAAAGAGTTAAAAAGCTGACGTTTCGAGTGTTAGCCCTTCTTCAGAGTGAATCCGCCATTCGCCATTCGCAACACCACAGTTTCTTTGGAAACTTACCCCTTTTGAGCAACAAAATGGCTGCAAAACTTTAATTTCTTTTCCATGTTGTGGGTTTGACTTTTTAAGCCCATCCCGGGGAACATTTGGTTTCATTTGAGTTCTTTTCGTCCTTTGCTCGCGCCTTCTGCGATCGATATGGTGCTCTGGAAAAGCCGATGGATGTATGTTATTAACTAGATGCTAAAATACTTGAAAATAAGATAATAATGGAATAATAAATCCCTTATTCAATGGTTTAACTTATAATACATGCTGCAATTTCGCTTATGGCTCGTATTTTTCCTTACTCTGTAAAATAACACGCCTCCCGGTTAGCTCAATGGATAGAGCGCTGGACTGATGTGCGGGAGGTCGAGGGTTCGAGCCCCGGCCGGACCAACACTCAAGGTCTTAAAATAATTGAGAAGAATATGCTGCCTTTCTATAACATCAAGAAATGGTTTAGATATTCTAGTCTTCTCGGATAGGGACGAATAAATGGAGGTCCCGTCTCCTGCAGGGTTAGGGGTAGGAGACGTTAATTTCCCACGCACGAGATTACTGTGTGATGGATGTCCTCCCCTGGGGTGGGATGGGTGGGTTGTTGTCTTGCGTTTCATACATGAGCCTCTGGCTCGGGCAATATGGGTAACCATGCCCCACGTAAAGACATTAAACTTTGATTACTATTACTATTACTATTACTATTACTATTACTATTACTATTACTATTACTATTACTATTACTATTACTATTACTATTACTATTACTATTACTATTACTATTACTGAGATGGTTTATCCTTATCATAGAGGCATATTTTGGCATTCCCTTTCTTTCCTTTGTTTTGTCTTGCCAAATTCTGTAATTACTCCTGCCATCTATTTCTTTTTCTCTCTGATCTGTACCTCTTTGCAAGGAGCCGCTTTTCATTGGCAATTCTTGCCCTGAAAAATAATGATAGATATGACACAAACACAAGAATGGATGGAATACACTGCTGTTTAACTCTGTATTCTAAGTAACAAAATATTTATCCACATGTGCAAAGTGCCACAGTAGTTTTTCAAGGTAACAGATTTAGGCCTAGCCAAGGAATGAACTGTGAGTGGAATATCTTTGATGAAAAAAACCCGACCACCAACCAAGATTCATGATTTGTTCAGGTGTTGGAGACTTAGTCATTTGTGGATGACACATGTCTGATGATGAGTTTGAACATTATATCAACAGCTAGAAGCATGTGATTTTAGGACATTAATTGGTTTACGTGATCAGTGCAACCTTGAATGACCTTTTTAATCAGTACTTAGCAACAACCAATCACAATGTAGAGAATATTGTATAAGAGTGATTTCTTACAAATTTTGCAGAGTAGCTATTTAAACACCCGTTGTAAGTAAGCGAATACAGGAGTGGAATAAAACAGTTTGATTGAGTCTAGTTCGTTGGAATTCTATCCCTAGTAAATAGGGCAAAGTTTACAAAACAGCAATATCTACAGTGTAAAAGTGAACAATATCCCTATCATGAAAGATCATTACAAAAACTTTGGAATTGTGTTGATTTTGTATAGCACAAGAGATAACTCCTTCTTACCCACTGGTATATCAACTGTTTTGTAGCAAAAAATAAAGTTACAATTATCACAATTATAAGATAAGAATAAAACAATGTGTATCTTACAGTTTATTTATTTGGGCCTTTTTCTCCAATGTGGTTTCTTTTGGAATATAAGATGCTTCCTTAATGATCCCTTCCACTTTCTCAATGGCATCTTCTAAGTTCTTTTGCTGGCTGCAGTATTTCATTGAGCTGAGAAATAATTCACCATTTTTGTTGATTCGATTCCTCTCCTGTAAGTTTTCAAGAAAGGAGAGTTACTTCCTTCAGTCAATAGTGATGGTTTATACCCAAACGGCTCTACACAAAATAGAACTCTGAATATGGTGTCCGAAAAAAGAAAATGCAAATTAACTTTAGGGACGCAAAAACATGTTTCTCTTAGTTTGAAAAGCAGCAAGCAAAAACTTAGTTGATTCTAAGGAATTAGCAATTTCAAGGCTGAAATGTCAAACACAATAGTTTCAGTTTCCACTCTTTAACTACCCTCAATCAAATTCTACACAAGTGCCAGCAAATTGCTTGCAAGTGCAAACAAGACTTTCCAAACCTACCTTTTCCAAGATCTTGTGTCTAACATCCTCTGGAATCCACTCAGCGCTTAAAACATGAAAGCGTAAGTCCACCTTGGTATTTACTTTAAAACAAAGAAGTTTTATGATTTTTTTAATTTTACATAAAAACAAACAAACAAACCGATAAATGATGGTACCTTTCAGGGCTTGACACTAACTTTTCAACTTACTAGCCAAGTGGCTAGTGACATCTTAGATGTTACAACAATTTCAGTTTGTTTACTAGCCAAACTGGCTTGAGGAAATCAAAAACCACTAGCCAAAATTGAATTTCTAAGGCTAATTGGTTACCATTAGTGTTGAGCCCTAACCTTTGACCTTCAACTCTGGATGATAATGGACAAAATGGTCACTGGCTGAATGATAAGTATCCAGGAATGCACAAATAGAATTGATGCTCAGAAATAATTTAAGGTGCAGGTGTAGGTGGATGCCAAAGTATTGGACAGATGTGGTGTCTACACAAGGCTGTGCTCCAAGGAAAATTGAATGGAGCCCAGTGCTCTAAAGCTGTGAAATCCAGGGTGCCCAGCATATGCTTTGTATGAAAAAACTAAAATTTCCAAGTCACCCAAGAGCAAAAGTAAGGTGCCAGGGGCCACCAGGCACTGCCAGAGCACAGCCTTGCTACATGAGAAATCTGGTTGGTCTTGAAAAATAACCCTCTTGAGTTATAAGTTCTAGTAAATGCGTAATTTTAATTATTTTTTACCCTGTATATTTAGGTTCCAGTAATAGAAAGTCACTCTGAAATATTCTCGAATCCAAAGACTAAAGCAATAGAAATCCAACAAAGTTTTACTAATACTATTTGAAATATCCTCACCACACCTTTGTTCACATTCTGTCCACCTGGTCCAGAACTTCTTGCAAACTTTACACTTAACTTGTCTACCAAGAAGAGACAACACTTCAGCTAAAATAATTTGGATATTAGGGCTAAATTTGACACAGGTAATTAGAACTTTAAAGGGTGTTTGGCTGAGTTTCAAGAGAATTTTGGTCTCTCTTAACAAGGAAATGCATTATATTGAATTGCTATCTCTGAGAGGTTCAATCAAGCTTGTCTTGAGCCACTTCTTGACTGATCTCCTTTGCTGAAAAACTGTTTGGTGTATATTCTTGTTCTTTTTTGGAGTCTCTCAGTCCTAGCATTAGCACAGTAATATTACTGGTATCTTCTGGTAACCCTCAAAATAACAAATTTCACAATAGTAAAATCAGTCTTACCCAATGGAATCTTTCCTTTGTAGTCTAAGTATGTACCTCCTTCCCTGTCATCCTATTGAAAAAGTGAGTCACGACAAGGTCACAGGACACTGAGATTTCTGTACAACACTTTACTTCAAAATGCATAAAGTTAATATTTAACTACAGAAAACAAAGGCGAAAAGAACAGTTCACCTTTTGGACTAATGCTTTGTTTTAGAATTGTACAAGGTGACACAGAAATATTTCCCCAAATTCTAAAGGAATTTTCAATATGATACCAATAAAATACTTTTTCACCAAAACCACAAGAAACCTTATATTTCATGGTAGAAAATGTTTAAAAGTACAACAAGTGCATACATCTACATTCTTTCATTAAGTTTAATTCAACCCTCTAACTCCTAGAGGCGATTTAAAGATGTAACTTCTTAAAATATCGATTACACATTATCACACATTACCCAACAAACAGGTTACGAGAATACTCAAAGTTATCAGAAAGAAGTTGATATCTTGATCCAACACCAAATTCTCGTAACTAATTTATCTACATCTACTTTATTACTCTTCAACGCTATTACACATCAAGAATGATGAGATGTTTAGCAGTTAGAAGGGAGAAGTATATAAAAAAATCAGATCTTGAGAGGTCTAATAACAGCCAAGTGACATGAAAACTGAAAATGCACACTAAATGTAATTTTCATTACCTTGTTGTCGCTGCTATTCAATCTAACTAGAGAATTCCAAAATTACAGCAGTCTAAATTCCTTATGTCTTGTCAATAACGAGCTATTAACCGTTATAAGAGAAGAAACTGATCGATGAAAGTTTCGTAACATTTCACTCAAAAAGTCGCCATTAAATTTACCCAGAAGTCAAAGGGCTCGTCTGACTAAAGAGTCGTACATCGCGCGAGTTTGGTCACGCCAGTTGCGCTTCACGTTCGCGCCGAAGAGACATGAAAGCGTGGTCTCAGACTCTCCCCTCATCTATCCAATGAGGTCGCCCTGTGAGATTTGTCAGCATAAAAAATATCTACTCACACATTTTAAGCGGCACCTGCGTATCTTTTGCAAAACTAACATACATGTAAAGGAAATTCTGGCACAAAGTGTCGATCTGTCAGTAGAATTATCAAGATGAACTCATCCTCCCTTGAAAGTGTTTTGCATTGTGGCCATTCCTATTGGCTATAGAGGACTAACATCTATACGAATGATCTGTTAACCATGCCGTGAGCTTTTTTCACACTTGGTTACTGAAGTATCAGAGGAACTTATTTTACTTTGATGGAACACATTCCCACTTTGTCTGTGGTTTACGTTTCACGGGGAAGCGTCTTATAAAACCAACAAAAGCCGAAAAGCCGAGCAAGAAAATAAGACGCCTTGCTTGGGATCGTGCCTATCACGATAGTTAACTTTAGTTCACTTACGTGTCAGGTGGTAATTAATTAGCGCCATTTGTATTAATGACGTCATATTGTTAACTGTAATTCACTCGATGTTCAAAGTTGCGCGCAAGCGTATAGAACTAGGGCTAAGAATTTCCGGAATATGGTAACATGACGGGACATGATGGAAGCATGGCCAGGAGGGACCACCTATATTTTCAATAATAGTGACTAAACGGCAACAATGTTGAAATCCAACATCAGCTTGGTGAAGAAAAATGATTCCTGGCTTCCTAAGAAAGAGCAGCAGTTGTCAGCCATTGAGAAACATGGCTACACTCTATTAAAAACCCTGGGGGAAGGCGCGTACGCCAAAGTCAAGCTCGCAGACTCTAAAAAGCACAACACTAAAGTAGCAGTGAAAGTGATAAACAAAAGGAGAGCACCCAAAGACTTCCTCCAAAAGTTTCTACCCAGAGAAGTCCATCTGATGCACAGACTCAATCATCCAAACGTAGTAAGTAGTATTTTGTTCCAATTGAGATTTGATAACAGAGAGAAAAGATCTCACATTAACTCCTGTTAATTTTCCCTTAAGTTAGTCGCGAGAATTTTATCCTCGAATTGTCAGTATTTTCTAACAGAACGCCGATCGTAACCGAAACGTAGAAATATTTCCGAAAACGTGCCGAATATATTCCGAAGGTGTTCAAAAGAGTGAGACAAACATGTCTTCGGCTTTCTCACATTTCGGCTGATTTTGCAATATTTTTCCTATACCTTGGTTCTCTCAGGCTTGTATTCATCAGGGCTTTTATGAACTCCCGCCATTATTCAAATATGTGACAGTGAGAGCTGAGCTGTGATGGTTGGAATTCTCCGTTGACAGAACAACTTTATCTTTATGCAGATCAGGTTGTTCGAAGTTGTGGAAACTTCCACCAAGGTTTATCTTGTTCTGCAATTGGCTTCTGGAGGCGACTTACTGGAATACATAAACAACAGACCCATGCTAACTGAAAAGGAGGTGCGCTTGCTGTTTTGTCAGCTTGCCGCTGCCATGATGTACTGCCACAAGGAAAACGTAGTACACAGGGACCTAAAATGTGAAAACATTTTGATAGCTGGAGACGGAAAATTGAAAGTCACAGGTAGCTACCTAGGAAATTTCTTGTTTAAGAAGACATATAAGCTGAAAAATGTAATTGATTACGCTACTTGCTTTCCATTAAACAAATAGATTCCATGTTACCGTGCGTCTGTTTATTGATAAATCACCGATGACGTCAAAATGGGACTGATGACAACAGAAAAAAGTGGCACATAAGGCGTAGCCGAGTGCGTCACTGATGTTGCCACATTTTGTCTTCTTGTGTGGTCTATTACTGAACAGACTCGCGGCAACATGGTTCGATTTTTTTATATATAATAAGAAAAGCGACATGTTGTTTATGGCGACGTCATCAATGCATCTGTTCTTTAATAGATCGTAAGTAAGGACCAATCAAAAAATGTGTGCACAAAATCAGCTTATCATCTTAACAGACAGTAATCCTGACATGACGGAGCGTGGTTATAAACAAAACACACAGAAATCCCGTCTTGTCATTCGGGTTTGAACGACCACTAGTTTTATAACTCCACACGATTAGATTGTGCGCTGTCGATCCCAATCCATGATAATTGACTTAGGCTCCGCCTTTCTCCACGATCACGTAATAGAAATAACCGCTTGATATCAATGTTAACGATATTTGCATATTATCGAAAAAGTGTGTCAACGCCGTAAAAATTACAAAATTGGTTTTCTAGAGGCTTGCTTGTGTTATAAAAGGAAATCAAATTCTTCTAACCTCGACTGATCTTTTCAATCAGCAATTTGTTTTTAAGTTTCGTATCAATGAATAACGCCATGCAGACATTTGACGAAGAACGAGTTAAAACAGAGACAAACCCTTAGTGCCTACACTGAGTGACCCACTTTTTCATTTCAGATTTTGGTTTTGCCGTGAGCACGTTCAAAAATCGTCTTCTAGAAACTTACTGTGGTTCGTTCGCCTATTGTTGTCCCGAAATCCTTCGGGGCAGGCCGTACGACGGTAAAAAAGCAGACGTGTGGAGCATGGGTGTGGTACTGTATGCCATGGGCTGCGCAAGGCTTCCCTTTAGTGAGGATGACATAAAATGTTTAGTCAAGGATGACTATAACAGCAAAATCAAGTTTTCGAAAAGAGTGAGTAAAGGTATAGCAGTGATTTTGACTTAAAACTTTAGAATAATTTTCAGACAGGAAGCAGAAGTACTCTGTGACTGGCCTAGGAATTTCGTGCTAGTTTCTCAACTAATCAGATGCAGAGGTAAAACCAATAACGAGTTCATCAGCGCTAGTGTTTTCCCGCGCTTCAGGCGGTGCATTTGTATCCACTTTGAGGCCTGATTCGCTTGGCCTTTAAAATTTCCCTTGATCTAAACAAGAGAACATGTTTGAGAGTCGTATACCAAATCCAAAGTAATCACAACAGCCAATCAGAAGAAAGAAAAATACCTTTAAGGGTCAATGAGAATTAACTCAAAGTTAAACAGACCAAGCTGCCGAAAGCGCGGGAAGGCGCAACTAATCAGGTCGTGATTGATTCTAATTCAGCATCTGATTGGTCGAGAGGGTGGGGCGAGTTTTCTCGATCAATCACAGGGCAGAATAAAGCAAAAACAAAGCAATCTCGGATTTCTTCGACGCTAAATTAAGAGGTGCTCTACTTGTTGGTTTTATGCCGCTTAAACAAAATGGGAAATAATTTAGTGAAGTAAGCCCTACCCTCAAATACGAGAAATCTTCCACTTGGTGATGTACAAACATTTATTCTCCTCTTTTATCCATTTTGTCACTGGATAAGTCCCAACGAAAGATACCATTATGTAATTATCCATGCTCTCTCCGCTAAAATTACATCATGGCATCAATACAGAGTGTAAAAAAATCCAAAAGTGAAAAAAGAGGCTAGAGTTCAAACTCTGTAGAAAATACGTATTAACTTGTTAAAATAACAAGAACATTTGGCTTAAATAAAAAACTCCAAAAACTCCTTAAAATTCCAAACTGAGAGATAAAAAATAAGCGTGAACAAAAACTCAAAACTAAGTATATAGAAAAAAACCAAGATAAATGCGAAATGTCCACGTCAGTTTCCAGCGTCAAGGCTAAAGTTCTTTGACGTGATTGGTTCATTTCTAAAATCACGCGCGGCCCGCGTGAATATAAAAAAAAAAAATACAAAGGCGGGAAAGGAAGAGAAAAATTAAATTTTGATAGGTAAAAACGAAAGAGATTTTCTATATAGATTGCACGTAACAATGCTACAAAGCAGTCTTACATATGCATAAAAAAGTGCAGAGCATACAAATTGTGATGAACTTGGAATGAAGTAGATGCAGCTTGCGTTGAGAGCAAGGCTCACACTATCTATAACTCAAACTTGTGTATTGAAAAAAAAATGGTATCATTTGTAAATACTCTTCAAGCCTTTGATAACTTTTTAAATTTTATCTCTCTCAACAGAGTATCGCAATCTTGTCCGTTGGATGTTAGAAGTGAACCAAAATGAACGGGCCACAGCGGAGGAGGTCTTTAAGAGCCCCTGGTGTAGGCAGGCCATCGAAGATAACCCAGAGCTGAGCTATCTTGTGGAAGCTCCCCAGGCGATCCCCGTACGCGTACGCAAGCCCTCGGAATGCGCACTCCAAGAGACGAACGAATTCGGTAAGCATGAAAGATCCGAACTTGTAACAAAAGTAACCTATTTCAGTCAGAATAATTTGGATATATCAACAAAGTTGAAATGGTAAATTGGCCACCGTAACGATTACAAAAGCTGACGTTTCGAGCGACGAAGGGCTAACGCTCGAAACGTCAGCTTTTGTAATCGTTACGGTGGCCAATTTACCATTTCAACTTTGTTGATATATCCAAATTATTCTGACTGAAATAGGTTACTTTTGTTACAAGTTCGGATCTTTCATGCTTACCGAATTCGTTCGTCTCTTGGAGTGCGCATTCCGAGGGCTTGCGTACGCGTACGGGGATCGCCTGGGGAGCTTCCACAAGATAGCTCAGCTCTGGGTTATCTTCGATGGCCTGCCTACACCAGGGGCTCTTAAAGACCTCCTCCGCTGTGGCCCGTTCATTTTGGTTCACTTCTAACATCCAACGGACAAGATTGCGATACTCTGTTGAGAGAGATAAAATTTAAAAAGTTATCAAAGGCTTGAAGAGTATTTACAAATGATACCATTTTTTTT